CCTCCCCAAGGTGACCCCAATGACCACTGGGAGGGTCAATGGTCAACGTCGATGGAACCGACCCCCTATGGTGACCAATGACCATTGGGGGGTCAATGGTCAACATCAATGGAACCAACCTCCCCAAGGTGACCCCAATGACCACTGGGAGGGTCAATGGTCAACATCGATGGAACGACCCCCCCAAGGTGACCAATGACCATTGAGGGGTCAATGGTCAATGTTGATGGAGTTGACCCCCCCGAGGTGACCAACAACGACCACTGGGGGGTCAATGGTCAACATTGATGGACTCAACCCCCCCAGTTGACCCCCGGGCCCCGCGGCCGCCCCATCCGGGGCGTTACCTGGGTGTCGGTGCCCTGGAAGCGCCGCATGACCTCGGCGATGAAACCCTTCATGGTGTCGAAGTCGCGGGCGCCGATGCTGCCCGAGCCGTCCACCAGGAACACGATGTCGTGGGAGCGCTTGGGGCACTCTGGGGGGGTCAAGAGGGGTCAACCAGGCCGGGGGGGCCCACCCTGACCCCCCCCGGGACCCCCCGTTACCTGGGAGGGCGTCGGGGAGGTTTCGGAGCTGCCGCAGGTCGGGGCCCAGGACGGCGCAGAAGCCGCTGAGCTGAACGTTCTCCCCGCAGGTTTTGGGGGCTCGGGGGGCACAAACCTGGGGATGGGGGGGGGGACACCCCGGAATCAGCCCTGGGGGGCCCCGTTTTGGGGCAAAACCCCCTCAATTTCACCCAAAACTAACCAATTTTGGGGGTGAAACCACGTCAGAAACACAGATTTGGATCGAAATCCCCTCATTTTTACCCCAAACCCGCCCAATTTTGGGGGTTCAACTTTCCACAGTTCCACCCCAAAACCTCCAGCTTTGGCTGAAACCTCCCCAGTTTCGCCCCAAACCCACCAATTTTGGGTTCGGCCCCTTCAATTCCACCCCAAACCCACCGATTTCGGGGGTTCGACTTCCTTCATTTCACCCCAAACCCGAAGTTTTGGGTTCTACTTCCTCAACCCCACCCCAAACCCACCGATTTTGCCTGAAACCGCCTTAATTTCACCCCAAACCCACCAATTTTGGGTTCAACTTCCTCAATTTCACTCAAACACCCCAATTTCGGGTTCAGCCTCCTCGGTTCCACCCCAAACTCATCAATTTTGGGTTCGACTTCCTCAATTTCACTCGAACCCACCAATTTCGGGTTCAACCCCACCCCAAACCACCAATTTGGCTGAAAGTCCCTTAATTTCACCCCAAACCCACCAATTTTGGGTTCAACTTCCTCAA